CACACACACACACACACACACACACACACATACACACTCACACACACACACACACACACACACGCACACACAAGCACAGCGAAGGGTCTAGCAGGGACTAGAGAGTGTTCTTTATATTGGGACTTCCAGCTTGGGTAGCTAGCTGACTGTAAACAGCACTCTCCTTGACAAGCCAGAAACTTCTGATAAAGTTTCTTCCACTTTGACAACTTCCCACACTTCTTCCCAGGTGCCCCATACAGGCATAGGCGTCATAACTCTTTTGTCATGAGGCGTGGGAATCTGCATTTCAAATCAGGCATCCCCTGTACTTCCTGTGTACGCGGAAATATGAGAATTCTGTTAGGGAAGCATCCGCAAGTTAGTAATACCTTGTTCTGTAAGGATTATCTATTTGATTGTCTGTTTGCTCATTTATTTATTTATTTATTTATTTATCCATGTGTGTGCACACATGTATTTGTGCACATATATGTAGGAGGTCAGAGCACAACTTTGAGTGTTGTTACTCAGGAGATTTCTGCCTCATTTTGAGGCAGGATATCTTATTGTCTTGTAGCTGAACAATTAGGTAGGCCAGCTGGCCAGCCAACCCTGTCTCCATCTCTCCAGCACTAGGATTACAACTGGGCACACCCAGCTGAAAACTTTTGTTTTAATTATAATAAGTACATCATTTCCCCTATTCATTTTCCTCCCTCTTAAATTCTAGACTGTTTTGTGTGGGTATGTAAGTGTGTGGGTGTAAATACATAAACACAACTTAAGTCCATCATCTACTGTTGCTTGTATATGCATGATTTTTCCGTAGACCATTGATCACTTCTTTTCATTTTAACCCATTGTGGTTTTCTGTAATGGTTTCTGTCTATTGCAAAGAGAAGTTTCTTCCATGAGAGGTGAGAACTACATTATCTGGGCACATAAGTATTTAAAATGAATGCAAACTAGGAATGGTGCTGGTTTGATAAAGTGTTAGTAGTAGGTTCTCTAAGATCCACGACATCAGTCGACCTAGGTTTCCAGCCCCAGGCATGATTTCCTTCCTGTTGAACAGGCCATAAATCCAATTAGACTGCCAAGATCGAGTAACACTGTTGCACCTTTAGGGATATCTTGGCACACTGATTAATGTTCATATACAGCTCTTTTACGTGGCTTCTAGGGATCAAAATCCCAGGTCCTTATGCTTTGAGGGAAAAGACACTTTACCAATTAAGTCACCTCCTTGGCTGGACTTTTTATAAATAAATAAATAAATCAGACTTGAAGTTTCTTAGAGGAGAAAAGACCAAAGAAAAGAAGGAGTAAAGTAAAGAAGTGGGGAGGAGAAAGAGTAATAGGAAGCAAATAGATACAATTAAAGTCCCATACTCCGGGAAGCACTAATCTGGGAATCCCAGCAGATTCTCTTCTTCAGAGAAGATGCATCCACCATTGGTGGCCCTGCAGATGGACTAGCCAGACAAGACTAATGACTGCTTTGTGCTCTTGACTCAAGAGTCTTGTGCACTCACAACCGTGTTTCAGCATCAAAGTTAGCTTCCAATTTGGTACCTCTGCAGAACAGTTAACTAGGTAGTAACAGGCTCAGCAGGTTGACCAGACCTTCCTTGTATCTTAAGCTGTCAGTATCCTTCTGAAACCCTTCAGCTTCCAGTGTTTCATGGACCACATAGAACAATAGTACACCCAATCCAGAAACACTACTCCACTTGCCCTATGAGTATAACATCTGGCCTCTGCTCTTCCTCTCTCCTCCTACTCAGTTGCATCAGGAGCACCAGCACTTCCTATGTATCTATTTTGCATATGTGATACAATGTGATAACCTGTTTCTAAGATCCTGTCGTTCAGATAGTAGGAGCACTCTGAGTATCTGCTCTTACTTGGAAGGTCCACTGGCTTTTAGCAGCTTTAGTCTGGAATGGGCAGTGTCCACCCCACTTTGCGTTTGCTTACGGCTTTGCAGCCCCAAACCATGCTGTGTAAGCAAAAGCCTAGTTTATTGTGTTGAGAGAGAAAGTGCTGCTCTCTGTTTCTGCTTACCTAGCCTTGGAGGGAAGACTGTGTGCAGAGCCGGAGGAAACTGGGATCATTGGAGTCGCTGGTTTAAAGGACACAGTGAACACTGCTGACCGATGGTCCAAATTCTGTTTAATTGAGAACATTTGCATCTGATTTTGTTACCATCAAGAATGATCACACCCTCCCAAATGACCTCTCCCCTAAACTGCTACACTGGAGAATCAGAAATCTCTTTGTGACGTTCAGCACACTAGGGCTGTCCCTGAAGGTGAGCACAAAGGCCACAGCATCTTCCAGCCATAGCTTCTAAAGGATATTTACCACTTTCTTGTTTTGGTTTATCTTTGCTTTTGCTTTATCTTCATTTTATTGATTTGTAGAGCAGTATTCAGTTATTATGTACGCCTTGGTGACTTGAAGCATTACAGAATTCTGTTTCCTAAAGCTCATAGAAACATTCAGGTGAAATGTTTAGTTATACAAAGTCATTTAACCTCACACGTGGGCCAAACTTTTAAACATATTGCATGTCATTAACTTGCTTAGCAATAGGCAGCTTCATCAGGAAACAAAAACCAGAGGCTGACAGAAAATTCCAGTTCTCTCGAAGGTAATCACTGGTTTAGGTGTCAGTGGTTGACACCTGGCTCACATTTCTGGAGAAGACTATGGACTTGAGGGGTTTGCTTAATATCTGATAATAAATGCTTTTTAGTTGATAAAAAAAAACCTGAAATCTGACATACATATGTATGAAAATGATTCAAATTTGATAAACATGTCCTGAGAGGAAATGACACATTTATCAAAAGCTTAGGACAACTTACTGAATCGAAATAGCCTTTTCTATAGTGCTCACCACAGTGGAGGAACTGCCCCTCCCCCTACTCCATGGATCAAAACCTAGCAGTGAAGAGAGCCAATCATAGGGAAAAACTTAGGACTTTTTAGTCTGAGTTAGAGGTGACTGTGAATACCACAGATATTTTAGGCAAGCTGTCATCTACAGAGTACCTGTGGCTGCTCACTGGCAAAATGTGATGTGTTGATGACTGTTAGATTATATCTAAAACCCCATTTACTGGCAAAAGCGGAGTTCACGTAAGGCATCTGCCTGATGTCTCCTGGTGCCTGATACAGTGTTGTGTGATATTGTCAATTTTCGCTTCAGAAGTGCTCCCATGCAGAGGGGGTACTTCACAAGGAATCTGCACATTTGATCTAGGGTGAAAGATGCCATTTTCATAGCAAAGCAACTTTTCCCTGGCAGTAAATGATAGGTGCTTCTGCACCTATAGAAATGCATTTATTTTCATGGAATTTTGACAAAAAAGTTTTTTTTTTCTTTATTGGGATGTGATCAAGTGTTTTCATTGCAAGGGTAAAAATAGTTGCTGGGAGTCCTGATGGTTCACTTCCCAACCATGGGCAAGTTCCTCAACATTTCCTGTTTATTTCAAAATATGCATTTCCTCTGTTAACAAAAGAAGAAAAGCAAGCAAGTCTTGGAGTCTGGCCTCTTCTGCTGCACCTTGGGCCACTTTCACTTCTGTAACATCACACCATCAAATGTTGCAAAAGGCCCACACAGGAGGTGTCACCACCATGGTGTCCTAGGCAGCAGGGATTTATTCAAGTGGCCCTGCTGATTTGCAGAGTGGGAATAAATACCAGGCCTTTTGCAGAGGTTACCAAGAGCTCTCTTCAGTAAAAATGATGTATCGTCTTCCTGCACTCAATAAAGTGGAGGACTAGGGTGGGAGCCTGCTTATGCTGTTTTGTATACACCTAGCCAGGCTGCCATTTACTCTCAGGAGGAATAGTTTAGTGGTGTAGAGTAGAGGGGCGCTTCCCTGCAGCATCCCATTGGCAACAGAACCAACCTCAGGCCTGACACTTGCATTGCCAGCTGTTGCCTACACGTTCTTTCTTCTTTCTAGGAACAAATTAACAGGTAAATTCCTCTTGCCCTGTAGAAGTCACACACACACACACACACACACACACACACACACACACACACACAAACACACACACACACCCCTCCCATCCTTATGTGAATTTTCTTGGAAATATTGCATTTATATTCTTCCTTTGTTCTTGTATTGGGGATGTAGTCTATGATATCTTATTGCCAGTTGTTTACTATAGCTACCCACCTTCATTCTCATGAATGACATCCAAATGTGCCTCAAGAGAGGCCTATAAAATTAAAGAGAAGTGGGAGAGAAAGAGAGACAGATTTCTGTGGTACTCAGTGGCTGTCAGCCATTCCAGTTTTATTGAGTATGTGAGGGGTCTTAACAAAAGATCAAAAATCAGATTGATGGATTCAGAAAAATGTCACTTGGAGTCAAATTTAGGATTAGGTGGCCAAAGAGCCATTTTATTATCAATGTCCTATCTACACACACACACACAAACACACACACACACACACACACACACACGTATGCTCCTTGATCCCTTTAAGTGTTACTTTTCAATAACTAGAAGCTTTTGCTTTTATTTTCTCGAAGAAAGTTCACCTAAGATGACCATTGATCATTTTACTTGCATCATTTGTCTGGTTTTGTTGCCTTTCCAGGAACAGGCATGAGGAAACCAATATTACCTCACATAAAATGTGGAAACTAAGAATCTTTAAAAGGAGGGAGCTGGAGGCACAGCTCGTAGGCACAGTGGTTACTATATGATCAACTACTAGGTCCAAATCCCGATGCAGTGTACAAGACTGTGCACAAGTTAAGAGGGATAGAGAATTATCATGGCACAGGATATGATAGGAGTGTATGAGAACGCGTACACAGCTCTATGAGTAAAATCCATCACAAGGTATGAGGTTCTGGTTGAAGTCAGCTGGGAAGCTGCAGGAGAGACAGTAGCTTCCTGGATGGTGACACCACAATGTCTGTTGCCTCAGGGCCATGCTGCCTTAGGATCCTGACATAATTTGCTTTCACTTCCATCATTCACTTTTTTTCTGTTAAAAGAAACATATATTATTATATTATATATATTATACATGTACATCACATGTATAGGTATACATGCATGTACATATATACATACATTCAGAGACAGGTCACTGTCAAATGCAAATTTATGAGGGCATTTAAGACCCCTCAGCAATTCCTGGCTCCCACCCTGCACTCTCACACATGTGTTCTGTCCCCACAGTCAGGTATATGCTGCCGGTCTTTGGGTGTCATGCGATTGGAGGCACTCACAGCGCCTCCTTCTAGGTATTATAACATCTGAATAGGAAGCTAACATAGAAGTGTACGAAAGAGACTGAGCCCATTGAGAAGATGAAAATCAAAGCTTTGTGAAGAGCATTCAGGCTTTATTGAAAATGACAGAAAACATTCCTAACTGTGCAGAGGATGTGAGCAAAGTATTCCATTCTGAAAGAATCTAGCTTTTTTTGCCAAATGAAATGCATCTTCAAAAACACTCAAGGTAATTCTTTGATGGCTGACATCTACCTGTTAAATGATTTTTGCATTATTGTATATGAAATAAATTATTATCATGTCTCGAGGCTCTCAGAATGTCTTATTTTCTTACAGGTATTTTAGCTAGTAAATCACAGAATAATCGTCAGTGGAATGATTAATTAGTTAGACCTTACAATAATGAATGAAAGCATGCAAAAGCATTTCTATTTCTTTTTAAAGTATTTGAAAATATAGATTTCTATTAGATGACTATTTTTATTTTATTTCATGAATACAACAAAAAGGCATCAATAAAATAAAGTTCTAAGGAATAAATAACTGAATCTGTGACCAATCATATTTCCTAAACAGACATGACACGCTCAAAGAATTTAAGCAACTTGGAAAACCTATAAACCCTTCACCATGAAGGTGCTAAGGGCAGCCACATCTACAGGACATGGGCCAGCTTCACCTTCACAGAACTGTGCATTTATAAAACTAAAGATTCAAAAATGAATGCTTGTCCACACAGCCTTGTAAAGAGCAAAGAGAAAAATGGTAGAGAGAGTAATATTTGAATTTCCAAATTTCTCAATCCCCCTCACAGACTTTATTGGGGACAAGAGTGTTGCTGGGAAGGCAGCCTGGAGATCCTTTGTGGTTTGGACATCTTTGGAATTGCTTTCCTGAGGAAGATTTAGCTTTAGTTATCAGTCAGACCCAATGAATATGACAGGGAGGCTCATGTTAAGAAAGACTGAATGGTGCAAGTACTGAGGACACTTCACCAGAGCCTTCTGCTATACCACCCATTTGCTTACTTTTTCACTGACTGTGATCATTTGAGGGGTGTTCATTGTGATGGTTAATACTGACAGCAATTAGGCAGGAACTAGAATCACCTAACCTCTTGGCATATCTTTGATACGTTTCTAGACTTGGCTAAGTGAGATGGGGAGACCTATCATAAATGCCGGCCTCACTATCCTATGTGCTAGGGATCTGGACTGAATAAAAGAGAAAGAAGGCTGAGCATCAGTGCCCATTACTCTCTGCTCCCTGATTGCAGGTGCAATGTGACCTGGGACTGGCAATCTCCTCTTGCTTTGGGGCATTCTCTGTCATGGAGAGCTGTACCACTAGGTGTTTAGAACAGTAAGAAAAGTAACTAGTGCTTTCATGTTCACTAATAAAGTGAAGACACTCAGGAAAGGAAGTCTTGTGTATATTGCTTTTATAAGATGTGTAGTTTGAGAATACAGAAAACCATTAACTAACATTTACAAAATTTTACAACTTAACCATTGTTGAATGCCTTTAAGGGACAACATTCTGAGCTAGGGTTCCAAGCAATGATGGGGAGAGAGATAACAGAACACACAGAACACAAAGACTGGGACCTTGTCAACAAGGTATGACGGTGCTGAGGAAGGCTTTGTGCCATCCCTCTGAACAGTGCTAGACATACCAAAAATATGTGTCTCTGAATTTCTCCATGTGCAATTCTACATTTGCCTCTTCTGGGCTAAATATGAGGGTATATCCCTACCTGTCTTAAAACCCTTCCATTTACCCACCTTATATATAACATAGTAATAATTTTATGGTGCATTTCTAAAAGAAAAAACTTCCAGTACTTTTATTATATAGGTATCAGGTGATTTACTTCTTAATCTTAAAATTTACCTAATGTGCAAACAATGTCTTCTGAAATTTCCTAAAGATTATGTTTTTCTGGTATCTACCTTCCTACAGAAAGGACTTTAAATTCTTCAGGATAAGATAAAAGACTAGAGTCCATTTTGTAAACATATATCCTTTCCATTTCTGTCATTTATCAAAGGAAATGAGTAAGAAATAGTATATTGAAACTAGCATATGATTATTTTTGCAACAGAAAAGGAAATATGTGAGCTGAGAAATTCCACTAATAAAGCATCATTTTTAATAATTTGAATAGTAAGATGGCAACAGAAACCTCACTTTCCTCCAGATTCATCAATCACAAAGTGCCTTCAATCAAACCTCAGTGTTTCTATAAATAGGCCTGGGTACAGCCCAAGACTCATTAATATTTGAATGAGTTCTTTAAAATAAACAGTGTTAATATTGAATTTTCTTGACCACCCAGATATAAACTTCACCTTCATAAGAGCCCATTACAAATTATTAAAATTCATCCTCTATTGTTCAAAAGTTCAACAGGCAAGGACTGTGCAAGGAAGACTGAATGCTTTCACTCTTCAAGACTTTCATCAAAAAAGGGATGTCACCTGTACCTTTTGAGGTTATAAAGCCTTGTCCTGCAGACACACAGACAGCCATACCCCTCTCTATGTCATCCCATGACCGAATGAGCTCCCCATTTGAGGTATAAAGGGTTTTGGCTGGGTGGGACATTTTCAGACGAGCAGTGCAATCATCCAGCAACTGAAATACAAAGGCAGAGCCATATTTGAATGACAAATATCTCAAAATAGTTATTAAAACTGTTTGAGACAAGGTTTCACGTAACGCAGGCTGTTAGTCTCAAAGTCACTACTTAGTTGATGACAACTTTGAACTTCTGGTCCTCCTGCTTCTACCACTTGAGTGCTAAGTTGCAGATGTCCACCACAAAGTCAGGTTTATGTGTTACTGAGAGTGATCTCAGGGCTTCCTGAATGGTAGGCAAACACTCAATGGGACCACATCTCAATCCTCAAGCAACGCTTTTGAGAGAGCTCTATCCCTACTTAAATATTCATTCAGATTGATTATTGGGCACAAGTAAGAAGAGGTGGAAAAAAGGACACAGAGTGAATGTTTGCTGATGTGATTAACATGAAAGGCTTCAGCAGTCTTTGGTGAAGATCTCCATGTAGGCCTGATTTTTCCACAGATGAAGGCATCTTGCCATTTAACAAACTTCTAAATATAATAAACTCTAGATTAGAAATCTAAACACGACAAAATAGCTTTAAATTTTTACTTAATGGCCAAAAAACTAAAAATACAAATAGCGAAGAAATCCAGATACTTGTCCTTTGTGTCACAATTAGAAAAGCCTGTGAAACTGAAGGAAATTGAAAGAGGCTCTAGTAGGTAGTTTTAAATTTTATCAATTAAAACACTAAACATAGAATCATGGAATGAGAGAAATATTAGTATAAAACTTACTTTGTAATTAAGAAGTTATATACAATAGGTACCAGAATGTAAGAAATAGCTTTTCTCAGCTGATGTGAAAAATCATTGTGTGAACATTATAGGATCTTATTTGTAGGATGCTTTGGTCAATCAAATAATTAAAAACTCATAAAAATAAGAGCATTTAAATGAATATGCAAATAAGTAAAGTTTATAGCATGAATAGTTTTTCTGATTACTAACACTAGACATTCAAAAATACAGTGGAAGAAAAGTAATCCCCCAAGCAATACCAAACAGAAATAATTATTTTAAAAATATAAATTCCTCATATGAAAATGATATAATTGTACTGATGGACCAAAAATCTGTTTCAATGCATATAAGACTGCTATACATCTGCCTGTGAAAAATGCATATCACAAAAGTTGTCAATTTTCATGAAATTAATTAATAGTCTTTTACAACTGAGGTTGAAACACCTGTGTGATGATTTTATGGGTCTGAAAAGTAATTCCATACCTTCTTTACAATTCAATAAACAATAGTCCTCAAGTGAAATATGATAACAAGATGAAATGGTGAGGAACTTCCACTTCCAGGGAGCAAACTAGGTTATAAAGTGATGATAGCTTTAAAAGCATTTGGTACTGCAGCTCACTTAACAGCATTGCCACATCTGTGTAAGAGTGCAGTGCATTCTACACAGGCATTCCACCTCCATCGGGAGACTCAGACGAGTCAGTAAACAAAGTCGAGAGAATTCTTCTAAGCCAACAAAGAAGAAAATGTTTCCACTTATTTTTTTTAACCAGAAAAAAAATCCTCATAGTTGTTAAAAGGAAAAAAAAAACAACCATAACACATTTAGAAGAAAAATCACTGAATCTTGATATTACTTTCATATGGTGAAAGAGTTCTAAAACATTAGAAGCAACAAATAAACATATTCATGGTTACTTATTGTATGTTAAAAAATCATAGACAAGTACAAAGCTGGATGCATGTCACCGCAGATCTGATAGTCACATGAAACAATGGAAAAAGCTATCTCCAACATGCAAAAGAAATGTATCCAATAGCAAAACAATGCAGAATTTCATAGGAACCCTAGGAAGTCATGGTGTTATATTGTTCTTCAGAATAGAACACTCTGAATGAAAATAAAAAGCTTGTCAATATTTCCTGTACAAGTTGCCGAAGACAAGAAGCTACCATGAGCCTCTAACATCTCTCCTCATCAAACCTGCATGTGTCCAAACCTCTGCACTTAGCCGCAGAGCGCCCATTGGCTTGCAAAGGCAATAGGGCATTACGTGCACTACCCATACAGGACACTCTGGCAATATGTGTCCAAATGCTCAACATGCTTTTATGAATTAAAGGTAGCAAACAAAACCAGGAAATAAACATGAATTTACTTATCATTATTTTTCACAACAGTAAAAACTTAAGACAACCTAGCTAGCAAACAATAGGAAATTGAGTAAACAAATGTGTCTGTTGGATAGATTAGTCTAATGTAACCAGAAATATTGTGTTATTTTTTAAGTGTTAAATTCTATGAGAAAAAGTCATAACAGTTTCTTAGATGAGCAGAGGAACTTTCAGAACTGATTTGGCCTAGGACTCACTATGATCACATTGGTAAAACATAGACAACTCTGGAAACCATGGACAGTCATATTTATACTAAGCTAGGATAACGTTACTGTGAGTGATGGCATCTCCATTTCCTTACTGATGCTCTTAGTTTGATCACTGACTTAAAGACACTGTTTTTTGAATTAGAAAACAAAATAAAAGTTATTTAATTAATCAATAAATTTATTGTGATTATTATAGAAATAAAACTGTAATAGACACATATGATGTGTTGTGTGCATGTGTGCATGCATGTGTGAGATGTATGTGTGTGTTTGTATGTGTATGTGTTTAGGGGAAGGAGATATGAATGGATATGTATAGTGTGTGTTTGTGTGTGTGTGTGTGTGTGTGTGTGTGTATGTTTGTGCCTGTGTATAACTTCTAAGGGTGCCAAACCAATACCAGAGGAGAGGTAGCTTAAATAATAGACCATTTCTAAGAACGCAGAGACGTGGCTAAATCAATTCTTAAGGGTCTCTGTTCTTGGCTTACAAATAGGTACCTTCTTGCTGTGTCACTTTATGGGAGAGAGAGAGGAAAAGGACGGAAATAGCATCTTCCTTCTTTTCTCTTTGGGGTGTGTGTGTGACTGTGTGTGTGTGTGTGTGTGTGTGTGTGTGTGTGTGTGTTGTATGTATTCATGAGTGAATGTTAGTGCACATAAGTGCCCGTGTTTGGAGGTCAGAGGTCAACCTTGGATGCAATCTATCTTTTCCCCGTCTTGTTTTTTAATTCAGAGCCTCCACTTTTACCTTGAGCTCTCTTACTCAGTTACTCTTGCTGGCTAGCAAACCCAAGAATTTGCCTGTCATTGTTTTGCTGGCACAGGGTTCAGAGGTCTGCATGCTTGTGCTGCACGAATTTTATCAACTGAGCCATTTCTTAGCATGCTCTTTCCCTTTTATTGTAAGGCCACTAATCCTGTCTAATCAGGTCCCTCTCCTCATAGCTTAATGCATCTTTAGTTGCTACCTAAGAATCCCATCTTTGAGTACAGTCACATTGGGCTTCGGAGCTTCAACATTTGAAATTGAGGTAAGGAGTAAGACATAATTTACTTTTTAATAGTCACTGTATTTATGTGTTTTCTTTTTCAAGGCAAACAAAATGTAAAATAGCTGAGTGCATACCAGGGATAGAAATAGTCTGGCAAATACATGTAAGTGGGTATGTGGGAGAAACTTATGTGGAAGTCAGGAAGTGCATCCTGACAAGAGCCTGATATAGCTGTCTCCTTAGAGGTTTGCCAGTGTCTGACATATTCAGAGGCAGATGTTCACAGCTAACCATTGAACTCATCATGGGCTTCCCAATGGAGGAGTTAGAGAGACGACTGAAGGAGCTGAAAGGGTTTGCAGCCCCATGAGGAGAACAACAATACCAACAAACCAGAGCTCCCAGTGTTTAGCCTGAGAGTACACAGGGAGGGACCCATGACTCCAGCTGTATATATAGGGCAGGATGGCCTTGTTGGCATAGGTGGGAAAGGAGATCCTTGGTCCCATGAAGACTGGACACCCAGTTCGGGGGATTTTGAGGGTGGGGAGGTAGAAGTGGGGGATAGGTGGGGGCACATCCTTATAGAAGCAGGAGGGGGGGGATGGGATTGGGAGTTCCGGGGCGGGGGTTGGGGGCAGGGAATGGGGTAAGGGGATAACATCTGAAATGAAAATAAAATATCCAATTAAAATAAAGAAAAAAATCTTACCATTTAGACAACAGTACTCTGCAGATATCATGTATCTTATTTATAATTGGGAAAATGAGTGTAACTTGATAAAAGCATAAGAAAACAAAACAGAAGTCAAATATATGTCCACTGCACTTGTTTTTCACTGAGACAAAGCCAATGATCTTACAAATATCTTTTAAAAATAAACTAGAAAATAAAGTGTTTTCACTACAATTAACATTCAAAACTATCTAGTTAGATGATAAGCTTGGAGACATTCTTAAGTCTCTGTATTTCATGAGGATCTAAGTCTGTTCATGTGCTTCTTATCACATTGACTAGTATAAGTCAAATATTGATCATTTTGTGGAAAAAAATCCACAGTAAAGCACTAGTGTCTATAAATAGCCAGCTTCTGTCCGTCTATGCTCTGCTTTTTAAATATAGCTTTCAGAGACAAGGTTTCCTCAAGCTGGACACAGTGACATCTGAACCCACCATGCATACCAGGGGGTTTGAGGCACTTGCTAATCTAAAGAGAAAAGACCCATTTTGTATTCCCAAAGCATCTACTCCAGCATTCAGAGCCATTCATTAGCTGAGAACAAACATGGAGATTTTAAGATGCTGTGATATCAGACATACACAGAGATTGGGGAAGACAAATGTCTCAGCCAAAGAAGAAGGTCCTGGGCAAACATAAATCAGAAAAGGATGCTGGTCCTGAAGAGAGCCACTGGCCCTGGAGAGAGAGCTGCCTGGGGCTATGATGACTGATAAACCAACCCCATCTGGAAATGAGTGTTGCTCTAGCAATGTTCAGAGAGTGTGTGGTTAAATCATCCAAAATAGCCATGGTAGTGAGAGAGTTTGTGCTGCCCGAGATTCGAATGCCATCTGGGGGTTTCACGATACTGAAGGTAGAGTGAAGTACATTGTAATGTGCCTATTTCCCGTTCTTCCAGTAAAAGTCCAGCCATGG